CCGATCTCCCCAAAACCCCAAAACCCCTCTAAGCATAAATATCTTGAAATCAAGGATTTTATGAGTATTATAACTATTAAAATATCATGAAAAGAATCTTATTGTCAATATTATCTGTAGCAACTATCTCAGCTACAAATGACTAGCCAAAGTTCACCTACGATGGGGCGGGAGCACCTAACGTTACTGATTTTTAGATTAAGGGCTAGCAGTCTGTATTAGGTCTATAGGATTATATTTTCAACCTTCAAACCAACATTCAAAGAGTCAACGGCGCTAAAAGAGCAATAACTACTATTAAAAATATCCAGTAAATGAGTAGCTACTTCGCCTCTTCAGGCTATGCTGCAGTTTTCTCAGAGCAATATAGCACATCTTCTGTTGTATCAGCTTTGCAATACATTCAAGACCATATGAATTGGATTTACGCTTACAACTCTACAATAAATAATCTGCTAAAGGATTAAAATACGACCTGCTATGATAATCTATATTCAAACTTCAATACTCTTTCCTAAGCAACATAGATTTTGACTTCATATGCAACTGCAAAGCAGACCAATTAAACTCTTGCAAGTATATATGCTTAACAACTAATCCAAATATGCAGCAATTATCAATGTGAGAACGTACTTTATGATTTCATTGCAAATATAAACTCTGAGTATACTTATTTCGATTAGAATTGTGAAATGCCTCAGAGACTATTCTAAGGTTCAATGTAATCTAAGATTTATAGAGGAAACAGAGACTAAAGTATTAATGTGGTTGGAGGCCTGCTTAATCAAGTACTGATTGCATTAATGGTTCAATCAGCTTATTTAACTTTAAGTCAATTAAGACTAGATGCCTGGGTGTCTGTGCAAGACAAATATGGACAATAAATTAAAGTTGCCTTTGAAAATATCATGCAATTTGACTAGATACTTCAAACAAACTATATCCTTAACGCTGGGTAGAATTTGAACTACCTAGGATTCAAACCAGATACTGATCAACAGGTGATTGCAGATAAAGTGGCACTCTATTTATCCACCTACTATCCTAACAAATACTGGGTTGTAGCAGTATCAGCCTCTGATTTAGACAATTAAGAGAGCTATTATGCTTGCTCAAATTGCATAGTTATATCCCAATTTTATCAAAATTTCAACATTCTCATTCAAGGTATTGATCAGTCAGCCAATCCAAATGTCAAGCTTCTCAATCAACAAGATTGGGCCACCTATGCTTAGACCTTTACTGATGCTTTTAATCTTGTTACTAACCTAATCGCTCAGCCACAATATTGCTTCTAGAGTGTCCTTGCCAACTTCAAGAATTTAAAGGTTGCTTTGAACGGAGGAACATAGCAGAATGTTTACCATAAGTTCGTCACTGCGCCAAAGCAGTCTCTCTTGGTTATTGCTACTGATCAGGCATGCCTCTCTACAACAACAAAACTTGAAATTAATCAGGGAAATTTAGAGAGAGAAATTAGATCATTTTTGGAATGACGTCGATGGTTGAGGATAAAATTCAGAACTTATAATTTAAATCAATATTATCCTTAAAGATCCTTAATTCTATCATATCTATAATTCTAATAATAATTAATAGTTTATTTAATGAAAAGATTCCTGCAACAGTTAGTTGTCTCATCTACTATCCTCTTAGTTTCAATTGCTAATGCCTAGGCTCCTTACGGCCAGGTTGTGGAGGGAGATATCGGTGATGACATCAAAGCTGGAATAGATACTCTAACAGCCATTCAAAAATTAGTTAATTCAATTGAGGATCCTCTATCTTTTTCGAATTCATCAGATGCTGTAATGGCTCAAATGAAAAATGTCATGGGAATGATCAATCAAATAGCGTCTCCAGGCCTTACCTATTATGTCTATGGAGATGACTACAGAGCCAACTCAGCCTCTGATATATTCTAAGATACCTTTGACTCCCTTGATTCTCTAAGTAACTACTATTAAAACTATGCATACTACCTTTTAAAGGCCTAAAACAAGGGTTATTGCTCACTAGCTCTAGCTTAATAATTCTAGGATATAGTTGACTCTTTCCAGGCACTTGAAGACTTTTTCCAGTACTATACTTTTGGGAATCCATAATATCTCCAAGAGTAATTTATGCTGTCTTGTGATAATAACGTTTGCTCTAATGCAATCATGTCATTGATTTCAAGCATGATAGGCGACTTTGAGAAAGTGGAGGATAGTTGCGACATCCTCTCTGCATTAGTAGATGGTAGTTCAGATAGAGGATTTTATCAAGGTCATCGAGATATGTTTACAAGTGTAGCTGCTTTTGGATTCAGCATGATGGTAATGGGTGTGACCATGCAAAGTGGGTACTAAACAATTAGCGAATCAGACTATGGCTAGTGGAAGGATGTTCAAAGTCAATACTCCCTACTTCTGAGTAATTTCTACGATAGAATTGTAGCTTACGACTCTCTGCTGCAAGATCAAGAAAATATTAACTGGAATGCTGAGAGAAACTTAAGGCTATTCTTGAAAGAGCAAGTTTAAGCAGGAATGACTCACCAGGATGTTAGTACTAAAATCTAGGCATACTTTACTTAGATGTATCCTAGCAGATACTGGATTGTCTATACTTACGACAACATTCAAGGAGAATCTGTCAACTCCTGGAAATGCAAGTACTGTTTTGCTGCTCTCAATGTACAAGGCGCATTTAACATATTAATGGGATCTGTGGATAGAAATTCTGTAGCAAACACTGCTCTGATAAATGATCCATATTTTACTAGCTCTATTAATAACTACGTAAACCAAGCTAGTATGCTAGTAAATGATTGGTTTAACTACGAAAGCAACTCAAACTGCTTAATGGGTGTATTTGCTACCTCTGGCAGCTATTCAGGAGCAGTAGCTGGCGATAAAGACTTTAATGGAATCAAGGTTCTTGAAAGCTAAACTTTGATCTAGACCTCAGCTACAATTTGGGCAGTTCAAGGCGTTTGCCCTCATCAGCAACTCATGATTCAAAAATCTCAAGTAAACGAAACAGAGGAAGATAAATTTGTGAGTATCAGTGGTTTGAACTATGACTAACTATGATTGATTTCATGAATAAGAAGGAAGAAATTTTAATTTAATATTAATGAATTATCAGAAAGTAATTAAATATTTCCACTTCTTTTCTCGAAGTTTAAGTGTAAACTTTAAAGCAAGCTAGTGAATGTATGATAAAGTGTCTAAGCTTTTGTAAACATTCAAGGCTTTCTTTTGTTGATATAGTCGTTCATGTCCTCGTCCCAATTATCCTAAAGTACTTCTCTTGGCTGTTTCTTTTGTTCTTTATCTGTTGTTGTGAGTCTTTCTTGTTCCTTGAAGTATGCCAAGTCCTCTTCCTTATAACTAAGACGCATGTGATCTGCAGGGGTTTTTGAGTCTCTTTCTGGGAAACGTAAGCCGTATAACTTTACATTAGGTGGGAGCAATTATTTTTCAATCTCAGCGGCTTCTTCTGCTGTTGGGGCAGTCTCTCTAAGATAACCTTATTATAGTGCTTGTTCATAATTCAATGCTCTTTATTTCATATATTAAGGCTTAGCTCTTATCATGCTTTTAAGATCTGATTGTTTATCTACTTCATCAACCACAGCTTTGAACGAGTAGGGCTCATTGATTGCTAAGTCTGCTAAGATTTTTCTATCAAGTTGTATATTTGATTTAGTAAGACCATGAGCAAAGCGAGAATAATTAACTCCATGCTCTCTGACTGCAGCATTGATAGAGTGAATCCAAGCTCTGCGGACAACTCTCTTCTTAACTTTTCTGTCTCTGTAAGAGTATTTCAAGGCCTTGTGCACCCTTCTTAGAGCAAGACCAAAGCAATTATTACTTCTGCCTGTAAATCCCTTGGCTAATCTGAAAACCTTCTTCCTTGAGAAATTCGCCATTTTAATGGTTATATATATTATTTTTAATCATATTTCCTCATTAATACAAATGTTATCATTTTGGGGTTTTGGGGTTTTGGGGTTTTGGGGTTTTGTGGAATTTGTAG